CGGCGGCTGGGACCCCGGCAGGCTCCCTCTTCCCCCAGTGTGCTGGATTCCTGCCATCCTCCTCTCCCTCCCTGCCACTGATCAGCTGATGGCCCTTGCGAGGGAGGGGGAGAAGTGGAGCCATAGCGTGCTCGCTCCTCAGGGCAGGAGGCGAAAATGAGGTGGGGACAGGGCCTTGGGGAAGTGGGTTGGAATCAGGGCATATCCCCTCCAGCCCTCTGCCGTGAGCCGCTCTGGGCAGGGGGCTGGGACCACCCCCACGACCCTAGCCCCCACCCCATGCCCTGACTCTTCCACCCCCCCTCACATGCCCCCAGCCCTCTGCCCTGAATCCTGCACCCTGCTCACACACACCCAGCCCCCTGCCCTGACTCCTGCACCACCCCACATACCCAGCCCCTCCATGCCCTGTCTCTTGCACCCTCCACATTCCCACCCTGAGCACCAAACAGGAGCTCCTGCACCCCTCACACCAAATGGGAGCTGCCCATGTAAGCACTCCACACCCAAACCTCCTGCCCCAAGCCTGAGCCCCCTCCCTCATTCTAGCTCCTGACTAGACCCTGCACCCCAACCCCCAGCCTGCTCTTGACCCCAAGCCCTGTGCTCAGTGCACTCCCACCCTCAGCTCAGTGCAGAGACAGAGGAAGAGAATGGGCTAGAACCAGGGAGAAGGCAGGTACCCACTCTATGTGGCCTGGGCCGGGATCCCAGACCGGCAGCAGGCTGAGTGGAGCTGGCAGCCAGGACCCTGGCTGGCAGGAGCCAGTGGACGGAACCCCAGACCGGCAGCAGGCTGAGCAGCTCAGCCCATTCCGGTCTGGGGTCCCGGCCACTGGCCCCCCCATCCTGATGCTGACCTAGGTTGGCAGCAGGCTGAGCGGGCCAGCAATGTAAGATCTGCATTTTAATTTAATTTTTAAACATTTTGAAAAACTTGTTTACTTTACATATGACAATAGTTTAGTTATATAATATATAGACTTATAAAGAGAGACCTTCTAAAAAATGTTGAAATATATTACTGGCATGCGAAACCTTAAATTAAAGTGAATAAATGAAGACTCAGCACACCACTTCTGAAAGGTTGCTGACCCCTGCGCTAGTTGGTGACTGGCAGTAGCCTTACACTGAGGAAGGTGGGGATAGTGGGTGGGGGTTCCCCTAGGGGGAACCCTGAGAGACAGTGGGTGTACTGCCAGGGGACAGCCATCCAAGAGTCAAGGGGCACTGGGTCAAGGAGGGACACGGGGCCAGCGGTAAGGCGGATCACCGACCTGCAGTGGGCGCTCCGGAGCCTGGTGAGCTAATTCCCAATGAAGACCAGCAGGAGGGGCCGCACGGATGAGTCCACTCCCTTACACTAATATTTTTATAAATTAAGTCCAGATTTACCCAGATTCCTTTTATTTTCCTTTAAAATTTTTTGTTGCAGGTGCAAATTGATACAAAGCTCAGTAATAGGATTTGTGCCTATAACAAATGGTCATTCCTTTATGGTGCATGCTAATTTTTCCTTAACACCAAGGGAGGCAGTCCTTAAGTCCTGACCCTAAAGCTATTCCTTCAAACACGGTGTACAAAGAAATACATCAGTGTTACATTTAAGCTGTTAAACTCAGTTAGCTTTCCCTTAGGACTGGATTCTGATATTTTACTCAGGTGGAGCTGTAACTTGCTTAGCATGTAGTCCTTTTGGTTTCAGTACTGTGAGAAGGAAGGTACTACTCAACATGTGCAAGGCTATAAGAAACTGGCCTTTAAATTATTTTCTGAAGGATTAGTCAAACAAAAGTATCCAATTCCTAATAGGCAGATGTCCACATCACAACAAAACACCATCAGATACCTGGTACTGACGTTGCTGGCCACAGTCTCAGAAGAGAAGCCAAAGATTGAACTGATGTGGAGACGAAACTACCCACTTGTCCTTAGTGCCTTCAAGTCCTGGATGAGTAGTCTTGTGGGATGTTGTTGGGGAGAAGCTTGTATTACAATGAGAATGCATATGCTGTACCTTGAGAGCACACTGATGGTCAGATATGTGTGCCTATTCATTAGGAACTGGAGGATAGATCCTCAGCTAGTGTAAATTGACGTTGCTTCCCGGACTCTTATATTAAGTTAAAAATGACAATATATTCTATTGCAAGCTATTAACTGAAGCATCTTTAGATGGTTTGGAGAAAATAAATGGGAACGAAGCTGCTTCTTCTCAGTTCCTTTAACCACAAATATCATATACAATGTGATATAGCTTGGCAAGAAGCCTTCAGTGCTTAAGAAACTCCAACTAGTGTATAATGCTGCAGCATGTCTCCTCAGTAACACAGGCTATGTAAGCACATCAAACCTGTCCTGCACATGCTACATTGACTTCCCACAGAATGTTGAATCAAGTTCAAGGTCCTGGTACTTATTTCCAAGGTGCTCCATGGCCTGGGTCCAGGATATTATACCATCTACAGCTCCAGGATGATCACTGTGGGGGAGGAACTCTCCACAATAAAGGGTAAAGCTAGTCTGTGTGTCTTAGATAAAACTTTTTTCGGGGCCAGTCCAAGACTGTCATGAATTCCACAGGAACTAATGACCAACACAAACCTCACCAGCTTCTGCTCCAAATGCAAGGCACATTTCTTTAGCCTGCTCTTCTCTAGCTTAAATAAACCACATCCAAGGTCTAAGCTCAGCTCAAACAGCTGAATGAGACCAAATCGAGGGGAGGGGGTCTGGATAATCTCCATCCAAGAATATTAAAGGAATTGGCACATAAAATTGAAAGCCTAACAGCAAGGATTTTTAATGAATCTGTAAACTTGGGGTCATACCCAATTACTGGAGAATTGCAAATATAGTACCTATATCTAAGAAAGGGGGAGAAAAAATGACATGGAAAATTACAAACTATGTTAATTTGACCTCAATTGTATGCAAGGTTCTAGAATAAATTTTGAAAGAAGGCAGGTCTACACTGCAGGTTTAAGTCGACCTAAATTATACAACTCCAGCTATGTGAATAACATAGCTTACATTGACTTACTGCAGTGTCAACACCGCGCTGGGTTGATGGGAGAAACTCTCCTGCAGGGGTGAAAGTAAGGGGGTACGGGCCAGTACAGTGTACCGGTAAAAGGTAGCAGCCAGGACTGGCCCATACCTCTGTCTTTAAAGTGCTGCTGCAGCAGTGCTTTAACATTGAGGCCCCTTTTGTGCCCCCCATTGGTGGCCCTGCTGGGTTCCTACCAGCAGGTCATGCTGACGGGGGTGCAAAAGGGTCAGCACTTTAATGTCTCTGTCCCTTTTGCCCCCCGGCCACCAACAGTGGGGGAGCTGCTATTTAGTAGGGGGGAAGAAGTAGCTGCCCCGGGGCCACAATTTAAAAGGGCCCGGGGCTCTGGCCGCTGCTGCCATTACTGCAGCAGCACCGGCCAGAGCCCCAGGCTCTTTAAAGCGCAGCTGGAGCCCTGGGCAGCACGGGCCAGGGAGGGCAGATGGACTGGCTGGGGGACACTGACCCTCCAGCCCTGCCCCTTCCACTGAAGGCCCTGCCCCTTTCGGGGGTGGGGGGAGGCAGAGTGGCCCCATACTAGTAAGAGCTGCATTTTACTTTCACACCTGCTCTCTTGTAAACCTACCTTATGCTTCTCATTCTGGTGGAGAACTGGAGTTGATGGGAAAGCAATCTGCGATCTTCACTAGACCCACTAAATTGAACCGCGGTGCATTGATCTCCTTAGTGTTGATCCCCAGTAAGTGTAAACATACCCAAGCATTTATGGACATAGAGGTTATCGGTAATTGGGATAAAATACGACACTGTTTTACAAAAGGTAGGTTGTTCCACACCAACACAATCTTTCTTTTAGAAGATAAACAATTTTATAGACAAAGGAAATGCAGTAGTTCTGATTTGCCTTGATTTCAGTAAAGAATTTGATACAGTTCCACATAGAAAATTATTGTTAAATTGGAGAATATGGGGATTAATACAAAAATCGAAAGGTGAATAAGGAACTGGTTAAAGGGGAAATTACAGTGGGTCATGCTGAATGGTGAACTGTCAGGCTGGAGGGAGATTACTGGTGGAATTTCTCAACGATCAGTCTTGGGACCAATCTTATTTAACATTTTCATTAATGACCTTGACACGAGAAGTGGGAGTGTGCTAATACAATTTGTGGGTGACAAGTTGGGAAGTATTGCCCATATGGAGGAGAACCAGAACATTGGACACTAAATTCTCAAGTCTTTAAATCAAGATTTGAGAACTTTGGTAACTCAGCCAGAGGTTATGAGTCTGTTAAAGATGTGTGTGGGTGAGTCTCTGTGGCCTGCAATGTGCAGGAGTTCAGACTAGATGATTGTGATGGTCCCTTCTGGCCTTAAAGTCTATGATAATTTGGTTTTGATAATAAGTCTATGATAATTTGATTTTGACCTCTTTAAATCTTATCCTTTTTTTTGTGTATAAACTAAGATTTTGAGGGCTAGATTCACAAAGGAACTTAGGTGTTTTGATGCTGAGCATCGTCATGCCTAAATTTTTAGGCACCTAGAAAATCACTGGGATACAAAAAGCTTGAGTTCCTTACACAATGAGAAGAGATAGGTGCCTCACAATGAATTCACAAAAGCCAGTCTACTAAATAGCAGCTCCCTATCTAAAATAGTCAATGGAAGATGCCCCAGTGAAGGGTACGTCCTACACCTGCCTCCTGTCATTTAGTTCTGTGCCTAAGTCCGGGCTTCAGGAAGGTACCACTCTCTGCTTGGGATTCTCAGCTGCAAACTCTCTCTTGGTGTTAGATGCCTATCCTAGTTTGCAAGAGGAGAAGGAAGGTGACCTCCCTCATATCGCTTTCATTATTTATTCACAGTGGAAAGGCTTCAACAAAAGAGACTGAGGGAGCCCACCTCAAAATATTCTATAAGGCCAGTGGCTAAGGCATGTACCTAAGAGGTAGCAAAGCTTTATTCAAATCTCTTCTCCCTTTCAGCTGGAGGTGGATCATGAACCAGGGGTCTCCACATCCCAGGTGAGTGCCCTAATCAATGGGTCAAACATTATGAGGACACTCTTCCTCCAGCTGTTTTGTGTGTATTCACCTATAGGGGCCCAATTTCATAGGTCAGCTCAGAGCACACTTATTGCATTGGACCCTGCAAGGGACTTAGGCAGAGGAATGCCTGTCTTCCCATGGTTCATGCATCATTCTGGGGCTTTGGCATCTGGATGCCTAGCGTGAGGCAGCGGTGCATGTGGTTAGAGTCAGAACCACAGGCAGCTAGAGACATTTTACTGCAAAGATATAGATGGAGGGTGAGTTAAAGCACTTATTCAGTGGCAGCTGAGCAAGGATTTTGTGAATCCCAGTATGGCCTGATTCTGGCTTTAGGCATCTAAAGTTGCAGTTAGGCACCTATGTACTTTTCTGAATCTGGCCCTGAAATGAAAAGTCATTTTGAATAGATAGAACGGTTTTGAAAATGTCAAAACAGCTTGCAGTACTGTTTAGGAAATCTTGGTCCTTTGCTTCTGGGGGCTAAATCATATCAAGGACCTCATTAGTCTCCATTGGAGAGGGAGGCATGTAGAAGCTCAGAGAATGAGAACAATTTGCACAATTTGCACAAATTCAAGTCAGATTACTTTTAAAGAGCAGCATTGGCTTTGGCTTGAAAAATCTATTGCCCAGCTGAAGGATGAGCAACCAGTTTCCAGTTCTAAAAGGGAGAATGTCACAAGTTTAATAAATAAAAATTGATGGTCCCTTGAATACAAGGGGGGAGGGATAATGTCTGGAGCATCTTTAGTCAAGAGCAAACCAGTACTCAAGAAGCCAGAGTTTGTTAGCAGAATGTGCAGTTAGATCAATAAAATATTCAATTGGATGAGCAAAGTATGCAGCTCAATCAGTAAAATGTATAAGTCCTCCAGTATTAAAATAGGCAACTCAATCAAGAAAGTATACTGGCTGATTAGTAAAATATGCAGCCTTTTCAGTAAATCATATTAAAATAATGCAATGACTGAAATATGTAATAAAATTAGGGAAAAGCCTGCAATGTCATTTGTAAAATGTACTTAATGTTTCATGAACTATGAGCATAAAGGCACCAAACCAAAAACTCTGAGACTTGTATCTCCCACAATAAATCTAAAGGAGCTATGTGCTGTAGCGTGACTGCTGGGAATATATGGGCAATGGAGGATTTCCAGTAGATTACCAAGTAGAAGGCAAGAGAGGAAGTAAAATAGTAGCCAAAGTGAGAATTCTTTTCATTTAATAAAAATCTGTTTTGAAGACTGATTTTTGTAAGATTTTCAAGGCCCAATGAAAATAGATCTGGCAGATTAAGGAGATATTTCCCCAGAAATGGCTGAAATTATGGAAGGGAAATTGTGGAAGCTCCTTCACTAGGTTTTCAAAAGGAGGAGACAGCCATCTGTCTTGGATGGTTTAGACACAACAAATCCTGCATCTTGACAGGGGGTTAGACTAGATAACCCTTGCGATCCATTCTAACTCTATGATTCTATGAAATTGCCATTTTGTTTCACAAAAAAATTGCCGTTTTGTTTCAGAAGAAAACCTTTTAAAGACAAATGATCAACTTAATCCATCTCTGCTTTATTTGTTCACTCATTTCTCACATTAATTATCTATTTTAGATAGAAGTATTTTAGCTGATTGGGTGCTATAGAGAGCTCTGTTCTGTTGAATTACTTACTTTAATATAATGAATATAGGAAATGTTTATAATATAAACTTTTTTAGTGTCTGTGAAGATCATGAAATTGAGACACGCAGTGCTGAGTAGAATGAGACATAGTAAAGAGGAACAATGCACAAGTATTACATAGTTTGCAATATAAATCCCCTTATTATTTGTGTGTGTGATGGGACACTATTTCCCTAGACCACATCCCATAGTGGTCCGAGCACTGGCTAGACATACCACCTAGTGGATCAAGTCTGGGGGTTGGCGGCAGCACCTAGTGGATCAAGTCCAAGGGTGAGGGATAACACCTAGTTGGCAGTAGAGGAACTTGGGCCTTTCCACTCCTCCAGTTTCAACCCCAGGGTCCCAGGGCAAGCAGATCTGGTGTTTGCTGTGGTTCAGGGTATCACTCACCCTGCTTTCTGGGGTTACCTCCTACCATGTCCCAGGCTCTCCTGAGGCACTGAAGGTTAGGCTAATGGCTTGCAATGCATCGCCTCAGAAGGGAGACTCTGCTGTTCTTTCTGCAGTGGCTGGCAGCTCTGGGTTGAGGTCTGCTTCAGGGTGGTATGGGGCTTCTACTGAATTCCTCCTGCAGGAGCTACCAGTGCAAGTCTGCTCCCTTTCATTGACCCCACTTACTGAGCTTTGCTGCACTCCTTTAAGCTCCATCTCCACTGAGGGCATGCCCAGGAAGTGTGGCTGGGCAGAGCCTTCTGTGACCAAACCTGCAGGGTCTGTACTCCTTGTCATAGTATGCAGGAGGAGTTCCCTACTTCCGTATTTACACCACCGGATATGGTCCAAACTTATCCCCTTCCTGGAGTTTGTTTTTGTCATGAACTTAAATAACAAACTAAAATACAATAAAGTAAACATCAATGTAGGCTTCCTCTTGAGTTTTTCTATTCTTGGAATTTTTACACCAGGACCCCTCTGTTCCTTTCTCTACATGTCCTTCAGAGACCCATTCCAACCCCTCTTGTTTCCTAAGTCCTTAATGATATGGTAATTTGATGATACATTGCTGCCAAAAATCAAATTTTAGAGTGCCCAAGTGCTGCCAGTTGGTGCCCTGTTTACCATGACCCTTCAGGTAGGAAAGCTGCAGGGTGCTGATGATCTGCACTTGTATAACTTGGAAAGTCACCTTCAGAAACACAAGATAGTTATGTTTTCCAAAAATTGGACAAATAATTTTTCATATGTAGTTGGCATGAAGTTTAGGGCCAGGATATGCAAAAGGCATTCTCTGGACCAGATTCATTTTCACTGGTGGAACATAGGCCCCCTAATGGTAGAAAGTCCATTGGGGTAGGGGCAAAGCAGCATAATCAGTCTGCGCTATAGTTATGTGAAGAAGGGGGCTCATGTTTGTCCGAGTCTGAATTAGTTGTTTTTAATCATTTGTATTATTGTTGCAGTGTCAGTGATCACTTCGTGCATAAGGTGCTTGCAAGATGTCTGCTTTATTCTGCATCCAGTTCCATGCAGACTATGCAAAACAACAAGAACTTCACAGCTCTCCACTCAGACTCTATTTGGTAAGCTCAGCCCTTAAATGCACTGTCTCCAATATCATATCTTTCCTTCTAAGCCAAAACTTAACAATAACTTGTTATAGCTCACAATTACAGATGCTTATGTAGCACTCCTTTTCTACCCGGTTACCTTCTTTAATGCCAATCTGCTTGCTTGTTTTGATGGACAGGCCTGGGTTCTTCTGGATCTCGCCACCCACTCAGCAGGGTGTATCTTCTTCATTTTTTCGTAGGAATTTATTTAGCGGTGTCTCCACACCCCTCGCTCCTTCCTGGCAGGGTCACCAGGGCAGCTTGGGAGGAAAATTCGAACCACAGGGTAATCCCCACTTACTTGCCAGATAGCTGGAGACTTCCAAGAAATAACACAAACACATACGATATATTCAACACAATAATGCTATTAAACAGGAGACAAATATAATGTAACAGGGTAAATCACTATTTTTAGGGTCACTGGTGCCCAAGCTGATAATACCATGACTTTCCCCAGTCATGTGACCTGATGTAGCAAATGTAAGATTAGTGTCCTGTTGATAGGCGTACTTCGTTGGGGCCCTTGATGACCTATGACCACAATATCTTCTCTGCAGTGGTTTAGCAGCCTGGCTGACTGGGTTCAGTACAGCCCAAAGGACTTACAAGTGGGAGAAGGTGGTAAGTCCCTCCACAGGTCTTATATGCAGCAGGTTATAAAATTCCCAAACCCTTACTCCCTGGCTTGAGGGGACAGTTCAGGGAGTAGGGGATCCCCAAAACAATTTCCCTGACTGACTAAAAGTTGGTGCTCTTACAAACTCCATGAGTGATCCTCAGGTTCAGGGATGACTCTGGACTCCTCAGTCACTGCAGAGGGGCTGATCTCTGCTGGCAGGGATCCTCTTCAGGCAGGAGTCAGGCTGCTTAGGTTTCAGGATTTCCCCTCACCACAAAGGGGTGCAGGGCTCAAGGTGCAGATTACATAACTATACTAAAATCCAAACTGTAGTCTCCCAGCCCAGCATCCAGACACACTCACAGCAGGCAGCAGTCCTGGACTAGCAGCCAGAGCAGATCTGACCATGTGGTGACTGGTCTTACCTAGGGAGCTGGAGGGCTAACTCAGCCTGGTTGGGGAAGTTTCCCAGCAAAACTCTACAAATTGGGAGTCATCAGTGGAGAGGGAAAAGCCCAGCTAGGGGATCTTGCTTTTAGGTTACTAGAGGCCAGTTCTCAGGGGGAACCCTGCATGCAGGCCTGGGACTCACCAGGTCCCCACACAGCCAGTCCTACCCTTGCTCTGGCTGGCTTCAGACTGACTCAAAAATGGCTTCTCTCCTTTCCTGAGCTCCCTGGGAAGGGCATCTCACTCCCTATTGGTTGCCGGGCAGACTCTGAGTCTGTCTTGGCTCCTCCTCCCTACCAGGAACAGTGTGCCTCTCCCTGAGATGCCAGCAGACAGAGCCCCATGAATCTAGGTAATATCCTTGTTGGTTACACTTACAACCAACCTAATAATTAAACTTACTAACAATGTTGCATTAGCCTGCCCTACACTGTCACTTGGACCTGGGGGGTTCCCTTCGAACATCAGTCTTACTGCTATCCGAAGGCAGCAAGTCCATTTGTTCTAGTTCCATTTTCTGGGCAGAGGTTGCTTTAGTTATAGGCAAGCTAGGCAGCTTACCTGGGGTAGCAGATTTATGGGCAGCTGCCTAGGGCTACAGATTTAGCCCAACTACCCCTCCATCATGACGAAGGGTTGGACAGGCCAAATTTGAGTGGAGTTGCAATCCTGCATGCTGTCTCAACACCTCTTGCTCAAATTTGGCCCAGTCCCCTCTTTCATGATGGAAGAATGGCCAGGTCAAATATATAGGATGTGGGGGGTGGTGCACTGAAGTGTTGCCTAAGGTGGCAGATACTGAGTGGCCTCTGGTCTTGGGGCTCCATTGTGTCATCCTGCGGTGGTTTTACCTGTCTGAGACCCTCTTGGGCAAAATGGCAGACTTATTTCCAATTATCTTCTGTCCTTCTTGGAATTGACAAAGGTGTCACTTACTCCTCCTTAGTATGTATCTGTCTGGGTTGGCAATCTCTTGTGAGACCACAGCTGTTTATGACCATTGTTTCCCATCATAGAGACACATGGCACCATTTTCAAGAAGTGGTGGCAGCTCCCAGGATCCCAAGTCGTAGTGATTCTATTCCGTTTTGTTTTGTCTTATCCAGCACTTCATACATCTTCAAGTTCCTAGTGACTTTGACATCAGTTTTTAATAGTGCAGGCATTCCTGTTTTCAGTTTTACATTGAACAAAATGTCAGCAGGTGAGATTCCATACTTCATTGGAGTCTTTCTGTAATGTAGCAATGCTAAATACGGATCAGAGTCTGAGTCCACACCTTTTTCAATAGGCACTTTGTTTTGACTTTGTTTTCCACTAACCCATTGGATTGGGGTGTTGTCATGTAGGTCCAGTGCTCCCAGCATTCCTCACGGTTATGCCAAGGGAACTAAAAGGTATATTTGGCTTTGAGCGTATATAGATAGGAAGTGCCCTGCAAGAAATGGAATTGTATGTCAAGCACAACCCATTTTCATAACCTATTTTTACAACTGCATAAGGTAGTCTTAACTCTATATTGCTAGCAACTAGCAGATAAGAAATGTGATTGTTTCTGCTACTTGTAAAACATGTTATGAAAGTGTAATCAAAACCATAAGAAAGGAATAAGTAGATAGACAAGCATAACTGGCTAAATTGAATTAGATACTAAATATGAAGCTTTGCTTAGAAATAATGGAAAATGGTCACAAATGATCTTCATATTGCATAAAGAATGGAAATGTATGGGGGGACATGATTCACCTTACAGGTGTATAGAAAATGTTAACCACAAATGTGACTTTAACATATGCTAGATGTTGTGGTGGGAGGACATGGAAAATTACAGTAGGGTCTTAGGAGTAACAAGAGAAATAAAACTAAACCAGGCATGTTTAGTCTTGAGGAAAGAGGACTGAGGGAGGACCAGATAAGTCTTCAGACATGTTCAGGGCTGTTATAAAGAAGATGGTGATAAGTTGTTGTCCGTGTCCAGTGAATGTTGGACAAGAAGTAATGGGTTTAATCTTCAGCAAGGGAAATTTAGGTTAGATGTCAGGGTAAATTGTCTAACTGTAAGGATGGTTAAGACCTGGAATAGGCTTCAAGGGAGGCAGTGAAATCCCCATCACTGGAGGCTTTTAAGAACAGGTTAGACAAATATCTGTCAGGGATGGTCTAGCTATATGTTGTCCTGCCTCAGCTCAGGAGACTGACTAGATGACCTCTTTAGATCCCTCCCAGCCCTACATTTTTATGATTCTGTGATTGACACACTAGACCATCTTCAGGTCATATTTTAATAATCTATTTTCCCAGGCTGCCTTTTAGGAGATAGGGTAAATGAAGAAATGATAACAAAACTAGCACAGTAGTTGAATCAAAAATAAGTAGAGACAAATGTTATCATTCTTTTCTCTCGCGACAAAGCTCATTGCACAAGTGGGGCTTTAGATCTGTACTCCTTTCTCCCACCTATACAGATCATTCTCTCAAGTATAGTTTCTAGACAGCAGAGATCCTATCCTTTCCTAAAAATCATTAACATATGGAAACCTTAATATTGGACAAAAGCATCTGGAACACATTTGAAGTAGTCTGTGTTTCACAACAACTTTAAAAGAAGTAGTTTTCCAGACTGTTGCCGTACAGCCTGTACATTGTGTACAGCATATAAATATTTCATGCTTCTCTTTGAAATTATGAACCAGGCAAATTTTTTCTAATAACGTGAGCGTGTTTATGGCCCTGTAATGGCACATGTATTTCTTACTGAGGGACAGCTTGATTTAGCAGTTGTCAAATTTGCTTAAATAATAGAGCCATTTTTTTTAGATTGGGATGCTGACTGTCACTGTGCAGTGTGCCATTTACACTTTCAACCCATGCTGTGGTGACACATACTTTCTTTCAAGTAAACAGGACTCATGCAGTTAGCTTTCAATATCACTAACTCTAATTATTTGTCTTTTTAAAATCTACTCCAATGTTAGCAACACTAAATTGCTGTCCTGGCTGTAAGCAGGAATTTATTAGATGTAAAGGTTACATCTCTTCTGGTAAATATGGAGAATGATCTAAGAATTAATCAATGTACCTTTTACAGAAGATCTATTGATAACTAGCTGGAAAAGTCTTTTGAAAAAAATATAAATTTTGCCCTTTAGATTTTCAACTACATTTTATGTAGTATAGTTCAAAAAGGTGCCCATTAAATGAAACAAGCAAAGTTATTGCCAACATTCTAAAAGGAAGCAGAAAGTTTATTCCTCCCATTTCTTATTTCATGCTACAGTAATGATGAGTAGTTTATATGGATCAGGTAAATTGATGACAGATCTGCTGCTAATATCCCACCACCAGAAGCTACCCACACTCAGCAGGGTCAGATGACTAACCGCAAATTGCTGATTGGACACCACTGGATATAAAATGTCCTGCTCCTATCTCTGATCTGAGAAACAAGTTGCTCGGCTTGTTGCTGATCCAAGACCAACTCCCTGCCTCTTTGCCTGATTCCTACTTTTATTCTTACTGCCTATCACACCTCATCCCTGTTCCTGCTACCTACCATGCCTTGTCCCTGCTCCTGTTACCATGCTTTATTCTTGGTTCCTGCTTCCTCGCCCTGACTCCAGTTGGTGACTCTGCCTTGACCCTTGGTGTGACCATGACCCCAACTCTATTACTGGCTCCAACCACTAGATCAGACAACCCACATTACAAGCTCAGACGGTGATCAGTCTTGATCTTCTCTGGGACTCTTTCTTTGAACCCACAGACTGAATATGGACACTGCCAGGGCTTTTGCCCCACCATTGCCACAGGGCCTGATGAGTCCTCAGGAGCAGATTGCTGCTCTCCAGGTAGAAAACCAGAAACTATGGGACCAAGTACAACAGCTGCAGAC